GAGCCCTGGGGCCCTTTTGGATCCGAGCAGTCCTTTTGCGCCTGAAGCATCCCTGACCAGTCGTTACAAATCAGGGTTTTTCATGGGAAAAACCATGGGGATTTTTGATGGGATTTAATGGGATTTCATCAATTTGGCAAAGTTTTTTGGGGCTTAACTTGTTTGATAGCTAAGTCCCGTAAAATGTGCCGTTCGAACATGTCCCATCTTTGGAAGAAACCAATCCATGTATCAATGGGGTATCCCTGCTAATCCTAAAGCCCAATTTGGCCCAGGGGGATCCCCTTCGCGACCTCCTGAGCAGTCCATTCTTGCATGGTTCCTACCTGTTGAACATCTAGTAATGTATATTATATATATATAATCGATTATTTATATATATATATAGATAGATAGATAGATAGATTGTAAGGCCAAATTCGAGGGAGAAGAGTAATCTAGCACTTGTTTGGTGTGAATTTGTTTTTCGCCATTGGCTGGGTCTTGACAAGTTTTCGAAAGCAGACTACGCTGCTGAGCACCAACGTCAGTCATTCCCCGGTGTGGAGTTGCTGGATTTCAAAATTAACACATGTAAGCCTGGAGCATTCAAGTATGAAACAAGTCCTGGGCACTTTGATGCTTCAATTCATTTCGGGTGAGGGATGTATCATTTGCGAGTCTTGTGTTCCTCGATTGGGTAAAGCTGCTTTTGGTAGTTCTGTGGATTCTTTTGTAGGGATGAAAAGGGTGAAGAAAACTTGCAGATATTTAGATAAACAAATGATAAAAATGTGAATTGTAGATATTGATAATAGATATTTAGATGCATGCATATTCAGAAATGGTGGCAAACAGGGAAAATGATCCCCAGCCAAGAATTACTTTGCGCTTTGTATTGGTTGCAAAGAGATCAAGGATCGAGATCAAGAATTGCTTGAAACACGCGCAGCTGTGTGGTGAGGTATCAATAATCAATCATGGTCAAACGCTTGCTGTGGCAAATCCAATCAAAAACCATGCCACTTATACCAGATTTTGCAATTTGGGTGGTGTACACAAAGAAAGTTCTTTCCTACCCTCTGGCAATTTAACATAGCTATTGAAAATGGCCATTTATAGTGGATTTACCCATTAAAAATGGTGATTTTCCATAGTTACGTTAGTTTACCAGAGGGTATCTATAGATGTTTTCCATAGAAAAATCCACGAAAATCCACATTGATTTTCCAAGATGGGCATTTGATATGGTTGGTGGTTTGGAACCATGGAATTTTATGACTTTCCATTCAGTAATTTCATCATCCCAACTGACGAAGAAACATATTTTTCAGAGGGGTAGGCTCAACCACCAACCAGGTAAACAAATCATCCCCATGTGTCAGTTTATTGTTGCTGATCTATCCCATTGGTGGAAGCCCTACTAATAATCCCATTATGTTGATGTTTCCCATCCCAAACATGCCCAGGGGATGGGATTTTCCAGCTCCAGCAGCTCCAGGACTTGGAACCTGCAGAGTGGAGACAAAAATTGCGAGGCACCTGGAGGTGTTTGTTGGAAACAGCAGCTATTCATCTGGTTGGTGGTTTCAAACATGAATGTTATTTTCCATGATATTATGGGATAATCCTTCCCATTGACTGATATTTTTCAGAGGGGTTGAAACCACCAACCAGTCATGGACTTCATGAAATACTCAGTGGAATATGAAAGTGGATACAGTGGATACGATTATCCTATGACGATTCATGGAATACTCAGTGTTTTTTTTTGATCTTAGGGATACTATTTAAAAACAAAAATATGCATCGATTGCATTCATAATGGAATATCATGCTCGGTTTATCTAAGTGGAATATTGAGTGGCAATAAAAACAACATATAGTCATTTTATCTTCACGCAATAAATAATGGAGATTGGATGAGCTTTTGCCATGATTTATGTAACTTATTGTATGTTACAAGCGGAGTTTGAAAGTAGCATTCTGGTCGGTGGTTGTGAGCGTGTTATTTTTGATGTTTAACCAGATTTGGTGATTTGGTATATTGAATTGATTTAGATTTAGATGGGTTGACACCACCAAAGCAAGTACGAAACGTGTTTGAACCACGTTTAAACCAACATTACCCTCTGGTAATTTAACATAGCTTTGAAATGACCATGTTTTGTAGCTATAAATGGGCCGCAGCTTTCACAGCTACCTGTTTTTCATTATCAGAGGACGAAGGGTCGGAGGAGGTCCCTTGCAACCCCATTTTTTCCCAAATTAGAGCAGTTGTATTGAAACAACCATGGCAACTTGCGGATCTCCCATTTTCAACCCCCCCCCCCCCGTGTATTAAATCTAAAAATAGATATAAATAGATAAATATATATATATACATATACAAATACATATGCATATATAATATATACATGCATATATATATATATATTCATATATAAATGTGCATATAATATATATATATCCTATGGATCCAAATACCATCTTAGGAATTATTTGGATCCATAGGTCCACGGTTGCCAGGTCTGTCGAGGGGTGAGCCAGATGCTAAGCGCATCGTGGTGCCCACGTTGGTGTATATCTCGGTTGCGGATCATGGATGCTTAATGATAGTTCATCATTTAGGTGATATTTGGGAAATTATAGGGATTTATGGAAATTTATGGAGATTTATGGAGATTTATGGTGATTTATAGGATGTTTCATGATGTTTTTAAGAAAAGTAGTGAACATGACTGAACATCTGAGACATTCAGACTATATCAACATCCAAAAAAACGATAGACAACGTAAAATTCCCAACTTGTTTTTTTTTGGTTCCAGACATTTTTACAGGGTCCTATGGGGATTGCTGAGATTCGCATCGCATCAGTCCAGAGGCCTGGGAAGCTACTGGACGTGCGCAACGACTACGAGCTACCTTGGCCTGTTTGTAGGGTTGACTGAAATACGTTTGTTTGGGAGTTAACCACAAAACACGGGTTAAACTACTGTTTTGGTTGATTAGTTTGGGTTGGGAGTTGTGTGAAAATGGGTGTTAAACCATGTTTGACCAACCAAAAGGGGTTTTATGTGTGATTTACCAACTACGAGATGTGTATATATATATATAGTACATATGTACAACCAAATTAATCAAATGTTTGGTTCGTTTGAAAAAGGGTGGTTTACCCCTACCCAATTGCAACTGTCGTGGGGAAAATATACAAACATGATGATCAACCATCAAATTTCCGGGTGCACTTTGCTCAGACAGACCCATGTCGAAACCCTGAATTGGTAGATCCCTGGTGTGCTTCATTGAGACAATACAATTCTAATAGCAGGGCACGGACAGTATCGCGGCCTTTGGATGACTGGTGAAGCTGCCCAGTTTTTTCTGGGTTGACAGGCAGGGTTGGTTGTTGGTCACTGGGTCATCCCATCCCGTGCTATATCTGCATCATTCTGCATCAGATTTCCCACGAATCCCAAAGCTGATTGGTCGTGCCATCAAATTTCAGATGTCAAACATTTGCCAACCATGTAGTTGTCACTCGTCCAAGGGTTTTTCTACGGCTGTTGTTAGCTATTGGGTATACTTCATGTAGTCTAACAACCCCCCTTAACCAATCACCTAACCGTTAAACCAGCATTTCTCACTTATGTCAATCCACTTACCCATCGTTTCACCACCATTTACCCTCTGGTAATTTAACATAGCTATTGAACATCACCATTTTCAATCGGAAAATCCACTATAAATGGCCATTTTCAATAGCTATTTTGACATAGCCAGAGGGTAACTATCATTTCTCCTTCACCCAGGCAGCCCTGCAGCCAGGTGGCAACTGGGTCACTTCACCGAGGCACAACGACCCAAGACCGACGAGCTACGCGTCCCTCGGATTCCCTCGGTGTGACGGATGGGACGGATGGGGATGGGATGTACCCGGCCTGGTTATGTCAAAATAACTATTGAAAATGGCCATAGAAATAGTGGATTTTCCCATGAAAAATGGTGATTTTCCATAGTTATGTAAACGTTTACCAGAGGGTAGTGTGGATTTATGATGGTTGATGATTAAGAATGGTGATTCCAATGAGGCAAACAAAAATAGTAGCCATAAAACCACCATCCCCCAGGAAAATCACACCATTTTTTTTGCTTGGTGGTATTGTTACCATTCCCAGTCATGGGTGGTTTATTTATGGCATTGTTTTAAGCACATTGCTATAGATACGAAGGAATGTCTATAGACATTAGGGATACTGGATTTTCATAGGGCACGGATGGGACATTAGATATAAAATCTGTAAGTAGAAATCTGAAATTTCGATAAATTTCTCGAAAACGAAGAATCTGAGATTCGTCACTGATGGGAAGCCACAGTTCATTTCTTCCCCAGTGACGTCAAGAGTCTACCTTGTGTTGAGCCATTTGGGCTGAGCCGAACGTAGGCCATCAAGACGTATCGAATGTATCGAGCCGCAGAGAGGATCAATTGGGATCAGATATAGGTCTGTGGCTCAAAATCATCGAAGCCCCAAGTTGAATGGTTTAAGATGTTTAATCAAGGATGTTTAAGGTTTAAGACTTCAAGAGTCTCAGACAAAACGATGAGAGAGAGACACGCCCACGGGTCAGAAGTGATGCCGAGTCTTTCTTCATGAGCCATAGCCAGATGTAGACGTACAACACTCACCTCAACCCGCAGAAGCTGAAGAAACTGACTCAGCGGTTGGGCTGGGGTCTCTATTTCCTGGGTTACCCTCCGGCAATTAAACATTGACATGGTTTGCTGGAAAATCCTTCATTTGTAGATGAGTTTCCCAGCTAACGAAACCTCCATTTCTGCTTGAGGATTTCCCTTTGCTATCTTTGAATCACCGGAGAGTAATTATGCCTTGTCAAGATTTGATAACTGGCTAAAGCCAGTCCCACAAACACCAAGTCGTTATTGAATAAAGAGGATGATCCACAGCACCCAATGAGACGTGTCTTCCGCCACACCGCCATGGAGCAGAAACGTTGGCATCGTTTTGTCGCGGGGGGTCTCGGAGAGATGTTCGCCGTGTCCTTCTCGCACCCAGCGGATGTGCTGAAGGCGGATGTGCTGATGGGTTTTCTGGTCTGGCTGGGGTACCTGGGATGGTGAAGTTACTGCTGATTCCCCATGCGTTTTTTTTTGGAAGCCATGAAGCATGCTGTGATTGCGGGAATCGCAGGAAATGCGTTGTTTTGTTTCATCTTCTTTCTGGCTTGGGAAGTACAAATATAGTCATCTTCTTGAATGGCTACAGGGTGGGGCCCCCCACTTATAAGTTGGTTTATACACCATTATAACCCCCAGTAACTATAGCTATACCTACCATAAACCATAGTTAAGCCACTTATAAGGCAACTTAGCTATTTTGGGGACCCCATCTTGTAAAGAGTTTAGTATGGATGACTGGGCAGACAAAGGGCCCAGCTGCCAAAATCCATGGGTGGAGCGGGGAGGTGAAAGGAGGGAGGGGTGAGGTGAGCAATGGGGTTTTCATGGATTTTCCATATTCCCTATACAACGGGGAGCCAAGGAGCTACTAAGAGTTTCGGAACCGCATCACAGGTGTTTTAAATGTGTTTTGATTGGTTTCTGCGGGTTGGTGTTGAGTGTTCATCTTGGGTTTTCATGTTCAATTTTGAGGTGCGTTTCTCAGCCAGATGGAAATTTACAAGCGTATTCACACCCCCCAGGCATATACTTGTGACGCAGTGTTGGCTGTCTGTAGCTACAAACGTAGAAAGGCAAGTCATCCCTGTTTTTTTTCCGGGGTTTTGCCAATATCATTCCACCTGGTGATGGCAATTGACTAATGTTTTTGAGATGGCTTGCAACCACCAACCAGTTGATAATGTGTTCATCATCTCTGCATTTGCTATAGGTATTCCGTATTTCCATGTTTCTTACTCATATCGAAAATCTGGAACCCTGAACCGAATTGTGGGATGACTAAGTGCTATAGAGATGGAAGAGCACCAATGGGCCGTCCAGCTCACAAGCTGTTGGTCATTACAGGCTACCCCATGTTTGAGCCATACTTGGGCCTTGCAGGTTCAGTTATAAGTCCTTGTGTACCCATAAATACATGGGGTTTATGTTTAAATACCAACTTATTGAGTTCACGTTTATATCCGTTAGCAATCCCAACTGCACTCCCAAGTACGCCCTGTGCAGGTGCGGTTGCAATTGACGGGTGAATGCAATCCTGCCAAACCCACCTTGCGTGCGAGAGATATTTGGCTCGTAGCGCAACGTTTGGCCGTGACGGAAGGACTGGTTGAGCAACAGCTGATGAGATAGTACTGTAAACCTTGGTTACAAACCAGCATTTAATGAAGAACCCCAATTTTTCCGATATCTGGTATTTTTTTGCATAGCCGTGGAAAATCGATGGCCATTGAAAAACTTGATTTACATGTGCTTACTATGGTCATGTTCCACCGCCAGGCCCGGGAAGCCTCTACCGTGGCATCTCCGCCGCCTGGCTCCGTCAGGCCACTTTTGGGACGCTGCGGCACGGCGGCTACGGAGTGCTGGAGGCGGCCGGGAAGGATGCGCGAAACCAGGCGGGGATGGTGGATTTTTCATGGAAAATTTCATGGATAGTTTATTATTGTGTTGTTTTACCCCCATTCATGGAAGATTGAATGGATACTTGCTAATAATGGATGAACAACCAATAGTAAACCAGGCAGAGGGCGTCCTTGCGACCCTGGATGGTGCCAACTTGGGTCCTGCGGGATCCGCCACAGTCACCATCCCCAAGTTTGTTTATGAAATTTGGGGCGGTTTATTGTTGGGTTTATTGTTGGGTTTACCCTCTGGTAATTTGACATAGCTATGGAAAATCACAATTTTCAATGGGAAAACTCACTATAAATGGCCATTTTCAATAGCTATTTTGACATAACCAGAGGGTACCATATTTTCCAAATAGCTTGGTTGATTGGGTTAATGTGGTAAACACCCAATGCCATAATCATGTGGGGATGGTTGGTATACCACCCATTTATATCCATTTTTGTGGTGATGGTATAGGGATGGTTTACTATTGGGTTTACTATCCATTACCTGGGTTCTTGGGGATTATTGTGACCCATAATGGAATAGTTACTAACTAGTATTTCATGAGATGGGATATATAGGGGTATCTTTGATTGCTATGAAAACCTGAGCAGTGGCTGCGATTAACCCCTGTTGATTGAAGATTAGGTCTGGGGTCCTACGTTCTACTATAGATTGGGGGTTACGACAATCCATGAGCTGGGAAATCTGCTCTTAGCCAGCCAGTACTAACATTGCTCACCTGGAGTTTGAAGCCATTTTAGGAGGATTGTTCGAAAAATTGGTGAGTTTTTTCTGGACAGGAGGTTAAGATTTGAGGGTAGAATTTAGAGGTTTACCTCTATCTTTGGAGCCAAAACAACAAGGTTTCGCTGCAAATTCAAGTAATCTTAAATCCATCCATTGACAGTGGGCAAGATTGGTTTTCTTGGGTGGAAATGGCTGTAGTGGTGGGGTGGGGTGTGGAAGGTGGGTGTGGAAGATTTATGTGGGAGATGGAAGTGGAGGTGTGTCCAAAGTTTAGGTGTACAGTAGTTGCAGTTGCCCAAGAACATTGGGAACCAGTGGTCAGAAAGGAGCCGAGTGCCGTAACCGCATTGTGATGCCACTTTCTGGCAAAACCAATCCGGAGAAGAATGCGCAAGAGGGGCAAAGGAATTGCTAACAAGAGATCTACGGGGAGTACGGGGAGAATGTTACACGACCCGTAAGTCCGACAGTCGGGCGCTTTCAAAATGTTCGTTTTGTTCAATTCAAAGCTGTGAAAGAGTGGTCCCAATTCCACAACTACCCATACATCTCCATCATTCAATTTCAATATTTCTCCAACTATCAATAAATCTCTGCATAGTATGCATCTCAATTCCCCCTTTTCATTCCTTTCCCTTTTCGTCTGAGGTGTCTTTATCCTGGCGCCTTCTTAGTGGCTTAGTCTCCGGTTCCATCTCTGCCCTGCTGGCGAACCCTGCGGATGTGGTGCTGATTCGCATGCAGGCGGACGGTGCCTGGCCGTTGGCGCACCGCCGCGGCTACCGCCACGCCCTGCATGGCCTGTGGAGCGTCTGGCGCGGCGAAGGCTGGCAGGCGCTGTACCGCGGTAGTGGCCCCACGGCGCTACGGGCCGCGCTGGTGACGATGGCGCAACTGCCGACCTATGAAGAGTTGAAGGGAGACTTGGAGGAAGTGGAAGAACTATGAAGAACTTACTGTCAGTGATGTCCCCGGATGAAGAAAACCCTGGGCTGTTGAATTTTGGGGGGTACCATTGCAGTAGCAGGTTGTCACAATTGGTGGGGGAACTCTTCATAATTCTGCCGGAAGCTAAGTCTATCATAAATCCATATAAATCCCCTTCCATATAAATCCCATATACGTTCCAATTGTTTATAGACAAATTCCATTTTTGTTGGTTAAGTCCCCACTCTTGATCTATCCTTTGGGTTGTCGACCCAAAAAAGAACCGACGACCCTAGGCCGCGCCCTGTCCATGGGCATCTCCAATGACGTGCGCCTCCACCTGGCCTGCGCCATGGCGTCCGGCACGGTGGCGTGTCTCGCCACGCAGCCGGTGGATTGTGTGAAGACCAGGATCATTAACATGCAGCAGTGCCACTTGGCCCAGAGGGGTGAAATCCAGGGATGAACCTTTGATGATATGATATTTATGATATCTATCATATTTCAAAGGCCATATGAGATAATATGAGATGATATGACATGATATAATAGTTCTCATATTTTATGATGATATTTTCTAATGGTTGTCCTCGCGATTTTGTAGCAGTGCGCCTGGTTTATGAATCATAGATTAGGGGATTTCTGGGGATTCACTTTTATATGTTCCAAATAATCCATTTGAAAGAAGTGTCACTTGGTATCAAAAAGATCGTACGATTACTGTACTCCATATCAATTCATTGTGTGCATCCTTTCTTAATCTTATATAAATGACTTGTCGAAGTGCTACCTGGAATGAACAGTTGTTGGTAAAGTACATATCATCAGATTTATTGAAGTGCCACTTTGCTGACATAATTTATAGGATGTCATTTGTTGCCATTTTTGGTTGCTTTGAGTGCCTAGCTTGACCTTCTCATTGGCCTGCTAATGGCAGGGCGTGATGTGTTTATTTTTTTGTGGGCCTTTTTGAAGGAGTGCCACTTAGCCAAGTTCTTGCATTTCTGGATGCTCCTGGCCAATGCATCTTAGGTAAATGTTAGGCTCTTTATGGGTCGTTTTCAAGAGTCATTTGATGTAGTGTCGCTTTGGCCAAAATTTACCAAGCACAAGTTTGTTCAAGCATGCAGGAGTATTTAGGTCGTGCAAATTGCGTAAATATAGATGATTGAAGTCATGAAAACCTCCAGTTAGTTTGGGACTTTCCCAGCTCACCAACCATGAAAATTTGGGATTCAACCAGCAAAAATGACGGTTTCATGGGATGGAATGTCACTTGAGGATGCATGGAGGTTTTGATGTTTAGATTGGATTCACCTTGTTAGGATAGGGCTTCCCCTATATCCCAACCAGGTTTTTGACATGAGGGTCCTGGCCCTGAGTAGACCCAGGATGTCGTTGGATCTCCCCAGGTGGCGTCAACTACCTGGGCCCTGTGGATGTGGTGCGAAAAACGCTGGCCACTGAGGGGCCCTTGGCCTTTTATAAAGGCCTCAGTGCCACCTTCATCCGCCTGTGGCCGCACACCGTGTTGCTGTGGCTGGGCCAGGAGTTCGTGAACGCGCGGCTGAGGTAAGAAAATGAGGCTTGCAACAGTTCTACCATGCTTGAGATCATTTGAGGATGATGTTGACCTAATATTTGGTGTAATATTGGGGATGCTTATGGATGGTCTATGATTGGGTTTATCTATGTTTATATATCCCATGATATCCCATGAATACTAGTCCCCCAGATCATGAAAACATGGTTTCTAGGGTACATCTCCTGAGCTGATGGACCATCCGCCATGGGTACGTATATGTCAATGATGGGAATTGATTGTGGGTAACTATCCCAAGGTAAAAGGCATTACGGCCTTAAGCGTAGTGAATTGTTTCCCAAGCTATCCAGAATACATCCATCTCTAGATGATTTTCAATTGAAGAAGATGCGAAACAAACCGTGGCCATCTCTGGTTCAGAGCGCGACTGGTCACTGCTTAAGCGTCAGTGAAGAGCTGCTTGTGCTGAACTTGGCCCAACGCTGCACCACTTTCTGCAGGAATGGACTCCAAACGTCAAGTTCTAGGAATTTCACTCGAAAATCATACGATACAAAAAAAAAATGTTATAAGTTTGTTTTATCAAGCTATCAGCAGTGATTTGATTCCCTGTTTCTTCCACTGCATCACCTCGTCATGATGTTATGCTTCAATGTTTGCCAATTCCCCGCATTTTCACATCACCGTTCCGCTGCCGACAACGACCGACCTCCGCTCCGCTCCCGCCGTTTCGCCGTTTCGGCGCATCCGCGGCGGCGACGACCGCCACGGCGTTCCCCATGGGTCAAGCATCGTCCGTGGGGGAAATGTGGCTGGGCAAGGTTTACTAAGTTTACTAGGGAGTTATCGAAATGAACATATATTGAAAGCAAAAAGATGCCACAGGGGCATAAGGGGTCCCCAAACAAATTATACTTCCAAGGTCCTATTAGAACGAGTTTCTTGGATACTGGAGAGAGAAACATCGATCAAACTGTGATGGTTGATTCAGGGTTTATATCACACAATGAACTTCATTGCAAACGCTGAATTTATATAGCGGCTATGTATGGCTATGTAATATTATTTTTTTCAATGCAGTTCGATGTGTGAGCTTGTGTTTATCATAGATTCATGATTGATGATTGCAAGAGGTCTACCATATTTGAACCATTTTGAACCACTAAAACTGGGGAGGAAGAACTTCCAGAGGTGAGCGAAAAGCCACCGATCTTTGCTGGAATCATTGACTATATCTCTTAACTTCGTTGCTGAAACTCCCCATATGAACCTTTTGTTTTTTTTTTTTGTGTGTGTGGGCCCGATGAAGAATTTAGATAAAACTCGATCAATTCATTCAGTTCCCCCCAAGGAACACAGAGCCATCCGACAAAGTCAACGGCTTTCAGGCAGGGTCCCTGAGTTTGCTGTGAATTTTCTGTGTGATTTTGCATTGCTGCTGTTATTGGAATCGTATTTTTGGCAACTTCCCAGATCAATGTCCCATGAATCCAATGAATGCCGGCCAGGGCAACAACGTCAACAACATGAGCATTAACCAAGACAAGGAGACGGGAGTTGATGCACGCATCCCTGCCACAACGGCACCCCAAATGGGGACATCACTGAACCATGATTCGATTGGGGTTTCAACAAAGTCAGGGGAAGGTGATGTAATATAATGTAATATACTTATATATATATATGCAAAACATATCATAATGTGATATAATATGCATATACAGATTATGTAGATGTTTTATGATTAATACGATTATATAAGATATACGTCATATGTGTAGCTGTTCGATGGCATCTGCCTTGCCCCAGGAGAAATCCAAAGGACCACATCCCAAGCCATCTGTCCCTTGGAATCTGCGCTTAGGACAGGGTGGTCACCTCGTAAGATTCGCAGACAAGCAAGCATGGCAAGCAAGAAAATCCCATAAAATCTGGGTAACCATTAATCACGGTTATTCACCATTAATCACCATTAATCACCAGTGAATTATATATATATATATATCTGGGTAAATTTCATCACAACCTCACTGTTCTCCCGAACCCTGGAATCCTGGTTAATATAAGGCAAATCATCCCCTTTTATGGCCTTAATTCAGGTTAGTGAAATATTATAATTCACCCAGATAAAATCCAATAAAATCACTACGGTTGTCACTAGCAATGCAGAAAACTTCCTTTGCGCAGTTGTTCCACTGACACCAACAATGATGTTCCAAGACTTAATTACTGATTGCTGTTTACACACAGTCATAGTCAAAATCATAGTCATAAGCATGTGGATGAGCAAAAAATACAGGATACTCAATGTCTCACGCACCCAGGGCGATTTTCGGACCATGCCCTTGACGGCATGGCAAAAGATCCATGCAAACTTTGAGGCGGGTGTGAGAAGGGAAGGCCCAATTATCCCTTCCATATATTGAAAATTTATGATATACACCACTTCAATGGCTTAAAAATGAATACTTATATCCGATACTGAACCGGGGTGTCAGGGAGTGTATTTCATATTGGGCGAAAGTTCTTTGCTTTGGGGATGAGAATGGAAACCACAGCTTTTACATTGTTATTGTTGGGCGAAAATGGACGTAAAGCCATTCAGAAATCTCCCATTGGAGATGGTGGCATGGCTCACCATCAATATGGCTTCAGGTTGAAAATGTGGATCCCATTAAAATCATCAAAAAAAGTCTAGTTTTTATGCACAAAGCCAGGCTTGGGTCGTATCACACCCCACGTTTTTGGAAATGAAGGGCTTGATCCAATCCCTCTTTGGCAAGATCATCCTGCGCTTGGAGCACCGTGAAAGAGCACGAAATCCAGAAAATCAAATCATCCCGTGATAGAATCCTGAAAAGATCTTGAGGAAGTTTGATGCGTGACATTTCCTGACATTTCGACTTTGACTTCCATCAAATCCAGAAAATTCCATGGAGTCCCTTGCCCCGTTGTTTTTTTAGATCTCCCAGAAACACTACAGAAACCCATGAGATTTTTGCCTACCCAGCCGCAGGCGGGCGGAAACAAGGCGGGATCCCGGTTTTACACCGGGGTAACAAACTTACTGAGGTACTAGTATAGTGGCAAATGGTCTCACCATAGTTATTAAGGTGAATATATAAACCCCCAGTGATAAATAGTGTGTATATATATATACATACATATATATATATATATATGTATTCATTGTTGGGGGGGCTTGCTGTACTTATTATGTAAGTAATAAGTAGATAAAGATACATGTGTGCGATATACTTATCCATATTCTGAACGATTTGGAGCCAAGAATGTGGTGAGAAATGTTGCCAGTTCAATGGCTTCAGCGGCTTCCCTGTTCATTGTTGCAGTATTCCAAGCAATGGCGTGCCATGTCTCCACCATAAATCATGGAAATGAATGATAATATCATACCAATGAAATGGATGCAATATAATGGAAGCATCATATTTCACCATATATCATCATATTATATATATATTATATGATATTATATATATGATATTATATATTTATGATATTATATATATATATACATTACATTATACATATGTTATTATATATATATATATCATATGTCATACCAATCCACCATATTCGATGAATGATTTGATCTCCAATTAATGGTGAATTCCCGGTGGCCATGTTTGTTGAACTGGGACTCGAATGACGAAGTCCCAAACCCTTCGTTCAGAAACTGTACAGATATTGGCCATGGCTACCAGTTATAACTGGTTATTTCAATGGGATTATGCATTCTATAAATGGGGTTTTGTTAGTACTATAACTGATAAATGGCCATAACTGTAGTTTCTGGGCCAAACATGCTGTTGTTTCAATTTCTGGGCCTACTACAAACATGTTGAACTGTTCAATGGCCATGCCAGATCGATCCTTGTCTCATTCTGGACAAACTATAGCTACCTCAAAAGACCTTGCTTCAATATACCATGGGCATTTCAAGCATGAGTAAACCTGGGTTGGGTAGGCTGGTGTCTAAGATCATCCATGTTTCATAGAAGATTGTAGCGCCCCCCAACAACCTACAGCCCCCCCAGAAAACTTGTACTTTTGGAACGTCACTAAGTACTAAGTGATACTAAGTGTTTTGGTATTCTTGGGCTTTTCGTCGTTTTTTTGTATGTTTTTGTTGGCGGTTCCCCCACTGATCTGACCTTTTTAAAGTTGGCGCCGCTTCAGCGAGCCTCAGGAGAAGACTCTGAGGGCCACGGCTCCGGCATGGACACCAGGGTGGCTCAGCCGCCCAGTTTCGCCTTGGGAAATCCAGGTTTTTTGGGGGTTGCCCTCTGTTTATGACTAACATTAAGCCATGGTATAGATGGCCCATAGAAATAGATGGTTTACCGTTTTTAAAAATGGGTGGATTTTCCATGGCGAACTGTTAGTCATAACCAGATAGTACCCCATTTGAAGGTTTCCTAAGTCATGGGGGAATTCCAAAACCATGGGTTTCAATATGATCTGACTGTATGACTTGGATGATTTGGAAAAAACCGCCCATGACTTAGGAAGTGACCATTTGATGGGGAACCCCCGCAATCATCGAAAATCATCCAAGTTTTTTTCCGGTAGGCATTCTAATTCATGTGAAACAATACTTCACAAGACAGTTCGGAGTGACCCAAGTTTGAGAAATCCAAGTCCGCAAAAACCATAGTGTATGTGTGTTCCTGGCAAAAATGATGGATGTGACTGGTGTGACTTTCAAAAGTACCAAGCCGTTATGGGGTGGATATTATCGGAACTAATTACAGTAAGAGCAGAGGATATCAAGGGGAGGGCAGCTGGTAGACGACTTCACGTTTGATTGATTTTTTTTGGGATCATTGGCTTCAAAGCAGCGAATAAACACAATGTTCTTACCACGCGGGGTGATTACATTTCTACTTGTTTTTTGTTCTTACTATTCAGCTCCTGGTCAGTACACCGGTTTTATGAGCATGTTCATCCACATGGTTGATTGTTAAACGTCTAAACATGCCAAGTTTGTGGAATCAGTGAAGAATCCTTACATAATACATGGCTGTTTTGGGAAACCGCCATGGCTATTCCTTGACATTCGGGGTTCCAGTTGGATGTGTTAACCTGTGCCGCCCCCGGTCTGAGTTGATTTAGTTTACCCCCATGAACTGTTGAGTGGGTAAAACAATGCCATAAACCATCCCCAGTCATCACCATTTTTATAGGTGGTATAGTATACAGTATACACTGTATACACCATTCCCAGTCATGGATGGTTTATGCTTGTTTTGCCCACATGAGTTAAGTTATATCTACCATACACCATAGAAATGGCCTACAAGGTGAGGTTCCCCCCGAGTTAGTCACTTTGTACCATCAAATATCGTCTTAATCCCCCTAATCGACCCTATAGTTTATTAACCAAACTATGTGCGAAAAAAAACTTAGCTATCATAAATTAAATCCCCATCTTTTGTTGATCATTTTTTTCAGCTATTGGCATCTTGGTGAAAATAGAATCCACATCCAGCTATCCCATCTTTTGGGGATCATTTTTTTCAATAAAGCTTTGAGATCCCCATGAAAAATCGGGTGAAATCACCATGGAATCCCCATGGGTTTCGTTTAAAAATTGGCCGCGACAGCTTTTTCGGAAGGACTCTCTTCCCTCCGATCGATGCTCAATGGCCCGGGGGCTTGGTAGGAACACTGGCAGCTTTTTCAGTATTTTTAACCGATCCCTGTTGTATGGGGATATCCTGGGATTTTTTGGGGGGCATATTGATCATCATAAGATATAATAACTATATAGTATTTATAGCTAGCCGCAACGAACTGACGATTTCAGGGGTGCCTGAAAATGGATAGCATACATCCCCGCCGGAAGAAGACCCTTTTGAATGGGACAATGATAATGAGCTGTGGGTTTTGAAGTACAACATTTCCAGATTTTGCAGACAAACCAAGTTACTTGTCACAGTTTTAACCACAGAAACGGATTGACATGAGATGATCCCCTACCATGGGAGAGTCCGACTGCGCCCTGAGGAAAATGCAGAGGAAGAGTCGTATGGCGAAAACGATTTTGTTTACTAGTTGATGGTTTCAATTATGTTTGTTGGTTTCCAACCTCCTAAATTATATCTAAATCTAAATATCATAAGCCAACTTAGCCAACTGTTTGATAGTTCAATTCCTAGTGTTTTAATGGTCATATCCCATTGTTGTTGGGGATCATCGTGTCCTTCAGAAAGAAATCGCTGGTTTTGACCTGCCAAAAAGGCTGACATCTGCAGTGAATTTCGCCAATGTCAGCAGTGAAGGAGGTTTAAGAGTTCCGTTCCAGCCATGAAATTCCAGCAGGAAACCATCAGTGAAAACCGGGAAAAATCCCAGGCCACAATGGATTTTCAGTTTTTTTTCCCAGAATTCCATCAGAAAATTCCATGTCCACAGAGGTCTGTTCCCGTGCAAACTTCGAGACTTGGTTCAACGACTGGTTCAACGACTGGCCTCACCGACTGGGGATTTGCTAACTGGAGTTATCCATAGTTATCCCAGTTAGATTGGTGGCTTATGGATTGGTGAAAACATAACTCTGGATAACTCCAGTTGGCAAACCATAGTGGGGTAGATAAAGCAACATGGGAATTTGTGGCTTATGGATTGGTTTTTCCTGCACAATGAGAAGATTTGTAATAGCCCTAGGGCTGCTGGGAAGGCGCGTGATTTTGTGAAATAGGCGGAAATGATGGGCCATGGGAAGCCCTGAAGCCTGGGCCACAAGATACACGACATAACTTTGAGGTGTAAAAGAAATGTGGTTGGGGATTTCATGGGATTTACTACGGTTTATATATATATGTTTATTAATTATATGATAGGATTTTGTGTGGGATGTTTACCATGTAAACCAGGACATGTTTCATGGGGCTTAGCCTTTGGCAATTTCTTCCGGGGTTCATGGCCACATGGCCCGTTTACTTCGATGTAAATTTACCTAAAAAAGAGATGGTAATTGTCAATAGCTATCTTTAATCACCAGGAGGTATTTAATAAAAACACTTGATGGTCTCAAATATGTGTTTTTTTTTTTTTAAATACTGTGCAACTATAGAAATGGGATGCCGATCCCCAATTACAAGCATAGATTCAGGGTTGCTCAACCAACCAGTTCATCAAATTTGGGGCCTGATGGGCATAGATTTTGGACGTTCAAGTCCAGCTAAGGACGGGTGCTCAATCTGGGAACAGCCGCTTGGCAGAGTTTCTGGTCCCCTCGCTCCCCTTGCGATCGGCAACAAATCCGAATTCCAAGACATGTTAGACATGTTGTCATTCTCGTTTCAAGTTCGGAGATTACTATAGTTTTTTCCTTTACTTTTTTGAATATAAACACAGATGCAAGGAGACAATACTACGGTATGTCAGGGTTTTATATGTATATAATATATGCACAAGTGCAACGCGCGGAAAGGAAGACATGCCAGCTGCATTGTGAAAGTGGATGGCTGAAGTTGTGGCTTATTTTCCTGTACCTCTACAAGCTGGGTGATTTACCATACCCTTAAAATCAATAGCTGGTTGAACTGGTTGCCGGGATGCTTGATGGACATCACAGGCAATTCCCCACTCATCTAAAAGCACCTACAATGTGAGGCCCCCAAGATGGCTAAGTTGGTTTATAACTCTAATAACTATGGTTTATGGTACTTATTACTATAGTTACTGTGGCTTATAAACCAACTTATAACTGGGGGGGGCCACATTGTAAGAATTCCCAAGAACATGCCTTATTTTATGACTTTTTCCGGCCCGTTGGATGGTCATAGCATGCCATAGCCCTGAGGTAACTCTCATACGCCCGAAGCAGGGAGCCGACGTCCGTCCTTCACACCTTATGGCCGCTTGGATCGACCGAGGTGCCAGGTCACGGCCCGGAATGATGGCGAAGTTGGTAAATATTGATATAACATGACTGATTGGTGGTTTGGAACATGAATGAATTATTTTCCATTTCATATATGGGATAATCCCCATTCACTTTCATATTTTTCAGAGGGGTTGAAACCACCAACCAGATGATATACCTTAACTATAGTCTCTATATATATATATATAGTCTATAGTTACTGGGGTATATATATATACTATAAACAAACCTTCACATCACTGGGGAGCCCCACTTTGTGAGAAGCATGGCGCAGTTGGATGGTTTCCACCTCAGGCCTTGAGCAAAAAAATATTCGGTTCCCTGCAAGTCATATGTTTCCGCTTAGATTATGTAGCCCCACTACAAAATTTTAGAGTACAATAGAATTACAGTAGATTCCAAAGCACGTCGCCCAGGTCCAAAGTCACCAAAAGTCATCCAAAATCATCAAGAATCACAAGGCAATTGCCTCAAAAATCACCCAAAAATCTCAAGAATCATCAAGAATCATGCAACAATTCCCACAAACCATGCCTTTTTACAATCACGCCTCCCGGTCCCAAGGCTACCCTGGCGCCGCCGCGGGCGCGCCGCATGCTCCACAGTACCCGGAGCAAGTGATGCAGATGCTCGGAGCAAAGATGGATCTCCTGGGTTTAAGTGAGATCCAATAAGAAATAGGTCATGTTCCCAATAATGTGGGTAAAACAATGTCATAAACCACCCATTTGGGAATGGTTTATGCCACCTATTTATGGTTGTTTTCCCTATATACATAAATAGCAGATTTTATTAATTATATACATATCATTATACATCTAATAAAATTTTCCCAACAATCCCATGCAGATGATGTGTTAATTGTCCATAATTGTCCCAATATGTTGCTTGATTGTTTACCCTCTGCTATTGAAAATTGCCATTTATAAGATGTTTAGTTGGGTGTTTCACCTATGAAAAATTGTGATTTTCCGTAGCTATGTTACATTACCAGAGGGGAAATGGTCCCGATAGGAAATCCATAACTTGATTGAGGGAAGATGTGCTAAATAGTTTTTTTTTTCTCCGGCCCCTTGGGCAAATTCAAGTATAGAATGGGGGACTATCCCAGATGTTATACTGTATGTGTTTTTCCTCTTGAAACTATGGTTCTCCCGTTTTCACCATAAAAAAAAACTGGGATTTGAAATGGCTGGATCCCCATTGTCGGTGAAGTCACGATTTGCGTCAGTGAATCCCACCTTTTTCTGGTTAAATCATGTTAAATCCCAATTCTCGATGCTGAACTCACCGCCATCCTTTTGCTTAGATCACTTCAGTGGTGAGTTAAGCATAGTTAATCATGTTAATCCACTTCAGATCAGTTAAGCATCAAGAATCACCAGATTTTAGCATGATTTCACCAGATGTTTCATCCCAAAGGGATCCTATTGAAGCATCCTTTGGCGAGGCAAATGATGATGCAGAAAGCCTTCTACGACGGTTGGGTTGATGCCGCTGCCCGTGCCGCTGGTTCAGCGATGCCGTGCCATGGTTAAAAGGTGCATCTCCAACCACCAAAAAATCGCTGGTTGGCGGTTTCAAACCATGGAATGGATTATGTTCCATTATGTTCCATCATTTTTTTGGGATGTCATCCTTCCCATTGACAAACTTATATGTTTCAAGATGGTTATAAAACCACCAACCAGAATAGGGTGTTTTCCATTGATTTTCATGGGGGATTGATGGGGATTTATGTTGATTATACAACGGCTATTTCATGGAGAATCCAATATATTTCTTTGCGAACTTGATTTCAGCTAGCTGGATTCGTCAACGGGAGGAAACAGCGACATCAACACATCAACTGATAGATTGCTTTGGCGGAACATTGGGGATGGGCTTGAAGCACTAAAGGTCACACAAGGAATATAACCACTAAGAAGGATGTGGATTTCATATGATATTGATGTGATATATATATATAACTATCGTCAAAGGTTGGATTATATAGAAAAAAACAAAAGATGGTAAAAATATACTTTACCATCCTCTCAATTTGACCCCCGCAGAATTACGTTGGCTTATTTGTTTCCAGAAGAAAATCGTCATCTCAGGGTCTTCGTGTTAGTGGCTAAGATCTACTCATGGACGATGGGGAGAGTGCTCAATGATTGATTGAAGTGGAAGATTGGTGGAAACCTGGTTGGTTGGTTGGTTGGTTGGTTGGTTGGTTGGTTGGTTGGTTGGTTGGTTGGTGATTATAAGGAGTTATTGGCGGATTATGAACTATTATAATCCATAGTAAGGACTAAGGAATAAGGAAACCTATCAACCAAAAAGTATGATGAGATGAGATGGGATAGCTCACACGTTTTTTTTCAAAACCCTCACTCTATGGCTCAATTGTCTGCCAGTTTTTTTCGCCACTTCCGGGAACGCCAGTTAGTTCACTAGTTGATTGGTGGTCTCGTGGGTGATGCTTCCTGGCAGGGGAGCAGATCACACCTTGGCCACCTAACATGGCCATGGAAAATGGCTCATTTATAGATGGTGCACCTATTAAAAATTGTGATTTTCCATGGCTATGTTAAATAACCAGATGGTATCTATCTTGTAAAAAGGTGGTGAGGGTTTACCAAAAAGAGGCTTCTGTGGACAACCAACTCTACTAGGTTCTACTTATGCACCACCTATCAACCATCTATTGAATATTTATTAACCGTGTATTTACGTACTGTCAACCATCCATCAACCGTCTATCAACCATCTGCTTATAACGACCTCACTGCGACCTCACTGGAATGATGGTTAGGATTCGGGGTAAGTATCCCAAAACAGCCCAACAGTTTAGATTAATGAGTCCTGATATTTTACCCCTCATCTATTCATCATCCAAACTAGCCATCCAAATTATCAATTCACGAATCTGGAAACAATGGGAATTGCCATCTACTAATGGCAACTAATGAACCATTAACCAGCAATTAACCATCCAAATTAACTAATCCCTGGATGGTTAAATACTGGTCAATGGTTAGTTACTGGTAAATAGGGCTTAATTCATGTTAATTCACCATCCATTGATTACTGGTAATTAACCAATTAACATCAATTACCCTCTGGTAAACTAACATAGCTATTGAACAATTAACCATCCAAATTAACTAATCCCTGGATGGTTAAATACTGGTCAATGGTTAGTTACTGGTAAATAGGGCTTAATTCATGTTAATTCACCATCCATTGATTACTGGTAATTAACCAATTAACATCAATTACCCTCTGGTAAACTAACATAGCTATTGAAAATGGCCATAGAAATAGTGGATTTTACCATTAAACATGGTGGATCTTTCCATCGTTATGTTAAATTACCACAGGGTAACCATTAGTAAAATGGGAAACCATGGGAGTTGCCACCTCCAAATCAACCACCAAGGCCCGGGGCCCCTGGGGCGGCCCCTGGCGCCGTGACGCCACCCTTGACCCCTGCCGTCCAAACACCTGCAGCTCGGCGGACCTTCGGGACGGTGAGGGAAGCCCCATTGAAGATATGGCATTTAGATGTGGTTTATATATGGTTAATATATGGTTAATATTCCCCATATCTTCAATGCCATATCAATGTTTCATATCAATGTTTCAATGCCATATCAATATATATGGTTAATGTATGGTTTATATTTGGATAGGGAACATTTACCCTCTGGTTATGTCAAAATAGCGAACTGTAGAATGGTCCATAGAAATAGATTATTTTCCCAGCTAGAAACCTCCATTTATGAGGGAATATTAAATGTTCCCTATCAATTATATGGTTTATATATGGTTAATATATGGTTAATATTCCCCAATAATGGTTTCAGTATAAAAAATCAACCATTATTGGGGATTATATAACCATATATACTGGAGGATAGTCTATCACTGGTTCGTGGTTTGGAACCATGGAATTTTGTATGACTTTCCCATCATATTGGGAAGTTCATCATCCCAACTGACGAACTCATATTTTTCAGAGGGATAGGTATACCACCAACCAGTAATGCAAAATGGAGAATGGTTGATTGATGATGGTTGATGATAAATGACACTGATGATGGAAACAAGGATGACACTATGAAGGCAAACAACAAGTACAACCAAAAGAACAACTGATGATGATTATTATTATTGTTGATATTATTATGTTGTTGAGATTGGTGAAATTATCTCATGTCTCTTGTTTTTTTGTTTTCTGTGTTGAAGCAAGATTTATCAACAACAATTTTACCTTTTGTGGGGTGCATGGGCGGCTATGTTGTTAGGTTATGTTCCTACCTAGAATGATATGAGACTAACCCAGGAACGGGGAACGAGCACAATTGGAATACGTTACAAATGCCTTGATGTCACAGTTAGTAGGTGACTTTAGGATACTTTATATTAATATAGGGGTTCCGTACTATTGATTATCTAGCTATTTGCCAGGTCTCAGGAACTGGGATTCAAGCCCACTCTAAAATCTGGTAAACGTCCGCAATGCTTGAAGACACCGAGGAATTTCAGAGAATGATTACTGGCCACATGTTCCGCGTACTGTAATCAATGCAAACACATCTTCCAAGTACAAATCGAGCCATGCATTTTTTTGTTGCTCACAGATCACTACTCATACAGATGCTGCCCCATCCAGTAAGCATGAAAAAAAACAGTTAAGAGAACCATACACAAATCATCAAAAATCGACCAGTGCCGGATCTTGAATTGGTTGAAGCGATCCCCTTTATTTGGATCCCAATGGCTGTTCCTTTACAGCAAATGGGACAAACTTTCAGGTCCCCTTTTGCAGCGCACAGATGTTTGTCATGTCCAGCAGAAAGTCCCTCCGCATGGGTTGGTAGTTCCATCCGTAAGCATGAATCACTAGGATTAACCATTATCATATATATATAATATATAAAAAAGCATCATTGATCACCATTATTAACAATCATTCTTCATCATTCATTTTGAATCACCGTGAATCACCACTACTAACCAGCGTTTAAAAGTTTAACCAAGTTTAACCAAGTTTAACCCATCATTCACCATCAACCAACCCAGAAGCCTCTCACTTCGTTCCACTCCAGGTCTTGGGAGGAGTGGCTGCTTCACTTAACGCCACTCGGGCTATGGATGCATGGGGGGTTGGAGTCCTACCCTCTGGTTATTTACTTAACATAGTTATGGTATAGATGAATGGTGATGAACATGGTCCATTTTTATTGATGTCAAAAGTCATGATTTACCTAGAAATGGTGATTTTCCCATTTCTATGTAAGAAACAACCAGCGGCTACATCTGATAGAACAACGATTTGAATTAGACAGGGGGGATTTCATCAGGGGAACTTGATGCCTACAGATCCGACCCCTGACTCTGCACATGGCAACAGGATGGACCCAGGATACGCACGGCACAGAGTTTGGCATGCCGCGACAACCTGGATTCAGGTGATTCCTTAGGTCAACCTGGATGTATTCCCCACAACATCTCGCAAGAATGTCGCAAGAATGTCGCAAGAATGTCGCAAGAAATGGGAGTGTTGACCAGCTATTGGCCAGAAAAGCATCAACAGACAGATTTGTTGACCGGGATCGCAAGTTCGGTACCTTCAGACTCACGTCCATGACATGCCAAAGCCCCACTTCCCAGGCACACGTGCAGGCCATGCAAGCAGCACAGGCCGGAACGCGTCAGGTAGAACTGGGTGAAATAAACCCGCTAGAAGGCGTCAATCTGGATGAATTATAATATTAGTACCTGGTACATCCTTGGCCAAAAATGATCTCTTTCCAAAAAACCAGGCTTTTTTCAGAAACGGATCGGAGAAAAAAACAATCCAGAGGGTTACCAGGTAAATCATCCCAATAGGCTCTTGACTCGGAGACTCTTCTGGCTGGTGCCACCGTGTTGGTTTTTTTTCGTTCTACCGGATGGTGATCCCAGCGATGATTCGTGTGCCAAATTTGCTAATGTCAACCCCGGATTAAACCCCAAACAGCTGTTGAATTGGCGGAATTGGGGTGGTACCATGGTACCATTTAAGTATCACGTTATGACTATTGGGGGAGTACTCTTCTAATTAATTCACATGAATTAACCAGAGTTTATTCATTTGGGGTTGACATTACACGTTTTGTTTGGCAGATTGGCCGCTTTCAGGGCCAACCGCCAAGTCCTGCTCGACAGGTGGGGACTGGGAGGACAACTACATCACTCGCATTCTTTGCTATTGTCATAGTTACTGGGGATTTAATGGATGTGTATGTATATAATGGGGGTAAAATGGAATAGATTACCAAACAAATACCAAACATATATACAGTTGTGTGCATATATATATTATATAATATATATATATATATTATACATATATATATATATTATACATATATATATATATATATTTGTGTGTGTGTGTGTGGGGGCAACCCCTGTTCCGAAGGGCTTTCATCACATGTCCAATTTTTAGTTACAGTTCCCAATTTACAAGCAGGGGCACACGGCATCCTTGACCCACCGTGTGCAACGAAGCTACGGTCTTGGATGGGATATCAGGGCTGATCACCCTGACGTACCTGCAGTTGGTCATGATGTTTTCTCATTATTCAAGCTTGTTGATGCATTTTCGGTTAGTCTTTTGTCATATGCATGAATAATTCGAGAAATCGGAGTCCGTTACGCATTTTTCAGTTTTTTCAGTTTTTACCAATTTCTGCGACTTTTGTCCAAAGTGGACAAAGACGGCCTTTCTGAACTCAGTTCAGATACCCTATCGGGAATCAAAAGACTCATAGACGAGATACGGTCTTTCAAGTGTGTTTTCGGCAGAGATTCCGTCATGGTCCTGTCGTGATCCGGTAACTGCCGGCGTGTGAACAGTATCCTTCTGATTTGGCTTCGGCCCTCAACTTTTTTCACCACCAAAAAACGGGGGTATGTCTGGTCCTTGTCCAGAGAAAAACAACAAGGCAATACCACTGGGTCGTTTTGACCATGAATCGTAGCCATCGGTATTTCTTTGAACCGTATCCGATATGATTTGGGACTAATTTTCCTTTCCGTCCCCTCGAGATGAGTAATTCGTGTTACGGAGTTCCACTTTCCAACGGAGATCGAAGATCTCCATGGAAATTGTCGCGCATGTTTTCTCAGGCGTTGAAGAATCTCTGAAAAATCTCTGAAAATCTCTGATTGCACTTTGTGCCTCTGATTTACTCTGATTCACTCTGATTTACTCTGAACATTCAGGGTTATTCCTGAACAAAGGCTTTCGGGCCCTCCTCTGAAACAACTATGAGTCGTCAACAAAAGGCCAAAAAAGAACAAAAAAGAACAAAATGAACTAACAGAAGAACCAGCAATAGAACATTTCGATTTACTCGTAGGACGAATCTGTGAGAGTTTCGATGCAGTGTTTTCACGGTACCTCAGCTTTCGTTCTCTGTACAGACATTCTGGCTCAACTGACATGTTTTTCATGTTTTTCATGTTCATTCAAGAAGCCAGACATTAAAAAACGTAACACACGTTGTTACTTGTACAGTTGACTTTTTAATTGTATGTGGGCATGGTTTTCCATTTTCCATTTTCCATTTTCGTCACGTAGAGTTGCAGCCATGTCATACAATGTGTATTTCATTGCAGGGGACTACAGCCGTCAGGCGGCAAAAGCACCACCGCCTCGAGCACCGGCTGCCGTGGTTTCGACGTTGCGACCCAAAAGAGAGGTCCGACCTGCGCTGTCAATTACAGATGGTATTGCACGTTTCGACCCCCCTAGGAGACCACCGGGACCAAGGTCTGTAGTCCTTGAAGGTGCACAGAAAATCGGTAGACCTCCAGCCGCACCGAGCAGTTTGAGACCTTTACAACCCCCACCACTGAGATCCAGATCTTCTCGATCCCGTAGACCTCGTCAAACGAGATCTAGATCCGATAGCCGTGCACGATCTCGGTCCCCAGGACCTAGTGTCAGTGAAGTTCGATCAGAGGCTCGCTCTTTACAGCAAGCTCATCATACATACCCACCAGGGAATTGGGGAACTTCACTTGGAGTATTTGACATTTACGGTCACAGCGGCCAATTTCAAGAAAGACCTCCACCGCCGCCACCACCACCTCGTCCGGTGGTGACACAGACCGTTCGTAGTGCTCCGAATACATCTTTCAATATGCCTTTAGGCAGTGCTCCTTTTAATGCGTTTCCGATTTCAAGCACGCCGACAGGCCATGTTCCACTAAATGATCATGAGTATTCCTTGTTTGAAAACCTTTTGAATCAACAAGTCAAGGAACATCCCACTTCTGAAGCCTTTTTGCAACATGTAGCCAAGCTACTGGCACAGGCTGACATTTTGTCACAAGATCTGGGACCCATGAGAATGGCCAAGTATGATCCCAACTACTACGGATCGAATCAGGGATCTGACCAACCGGCTCCAATGGAGCATTTTTACCTTTTGCCGATCTCAGTTTTGTATAATAGAGCTAACCTTCCAGAAGGGATGCCACCGCCACCAAGACGAGCGGCACCAGACAGAGGCCTCGATGAAATCATTCATCTGGCCTTCACACATGCCACAAAACTTGGTAATTTTGTTGCCATTCTCAAAGAAGGTAAGCTGGCACCTAGCAAACTCCACTTTGCGGAAAGTGAAAGTTTCTTTGCTCAGGGATTCAAAGTAGGATACACCTCGTGGGAGGCGCACGAATTAGGTCGTATCTTGCATAATGGGACGAATCTCAGCAAGAACGAGTGCGGTGCCATATTTGTGGGCCTAGCCTGGGGCACAGGAAAAACTGTGCACAATGGCGGAGAGGGTGAGTGCATTGACCTCACCCGCGGTCCGAATTCGCAAGGATGCGTGCATCACAAACGTGGCCGCATGTGGGTGATAAACACCCACAGCCACTATTTGACAGGCATTGCTTGGCGATCTGATTCCCAAGCTCCGGTCAGGTTGTTCTGATTTTCTCTCACTTTGTTGTTTTTCCTTCCGATTTTTGCAGTTTATTTCTTATCCATGTTGTTTGCCTCATCCTTGCTACGTTCTTTGCACGACCATTCTGCATTTTCTAATCCTGAAACGGATTGGACGCCACCACGACAAAAAATATTGTCAGCTTGCAAGGTTAGCCGTTGCGGCATTGCTTGGCGATCTGATTCCCAAGCTCCCGTCAGGTTTTTCTGAATTTCATTCAGCTTGATTTTTCATTCGATATTGAATTAAACTTGACATTGGACTGAAAGCCATAATGGCTCAGATCATCACTTCGATCTTGTCGACCGATTTCTTGAGCAGGCTCAAAAGTCGTGCTCATTTAATTCAACACAGGTACCCGTAGTCACCAACCCCAACGTCTTTGCATGAATTAGCACCGCTGTATGTACAGACAAGAATTCATTCTTCAGACATTGACAGTGTATGGCCCTGCCATTTCTCCATTTTGAAAGCTAGTTATGCACTGATTTGAACTTCCGTCAGATTAGAAGTGCAGGACTCGGAAGTTATAGACCTCTTTGACACTGTCGTATTTGGCCGTGACCACAATGAACGATCGTGGAGCAGTACGTTTTGGAAATTTTGATTCAACCTTGTTTCGAACATCTTGTAGTCAGCTGCGTCGATACGTCGACAATAGGTTTCTCATTGTACAGCAGAGACCACCTTCAGACCTCCGTTTCTCAAGTCTTTACAGACTTGGATTTTAGTGGCAGTCCAGTTGAACTGGAACTTGTTTTCGTTGCACTCTCACTGTGCATCGGGCTCAAAAGTCGTGCTCATTTAATTCAATACTCGTAGTCACAAACCCGAACTTTTTGCATGAATTAGCACCGCTGTATGTACAGACAGGATTTCCATCTTCAGACATTGACATGTCTCGCCATTGCGATTTCTCCATTGTGCAAACTTGTTCCGCACTGATTTGGATTTTGCGTCAGATTTCTCAAGAATTTCAATTCTTTACAGACTTGGTGTTTTCTTTGTTTTCTTTGTTGCAATTCTTGAACAAACACTGATGTCCACACTGCCAGGCATCAGATTTGGGACACTGTATCCGCCGGAACCTTCCGTCTTGGTTTGAGCGGGCTCAAAAAGCCATGCTCATTTAATTCAATACTCGTAGTCACAAACCCGAACTTTTTGCATGAATTAGCACCGCTGTATGTACAGACAGGATTTCCATCTTCAGACATTGACAGTGTTTGGCCTTGCCATTTCCTCATTTTACAAGATTGTTTCACATTCATGTGGCAAAGCTTGCAGAAACCTTTGACTTTTCCCTATTATACAAGCTTGTTTCACACTCATGTGGCAAAGCCTGCCGGAACGTTTGGCGTCAGATCCGAAGTGAAAGAATCGGAAGTCAGACATCTTTGACACTGTCAAATTTGGCAGTGGCCACGTTGAACAATCGTGTAGCAGTATCTTTCAAAACCAACATGTTTCCACCTTGTTTTGATCATCGTGTAGTGTCGTCAGATACATTGATACGTCGACAATAGGTTTCTCATTGCACAAAAAAGACCACCTTCAGACCTCCGTTTGTCAAGTCTTTACAGACTTGGACTTTAGTGGCAGTCCAGTTGAACTGGAACTTGTTTTCATTGCATTCTCACTGTGCATCGGGCTCAAAAGTCGTGCTCATTTAATTCAATACCCGTAGTCACAAACCCCAACTTCTTTGCATGAATTAGCACCGCTATATGTACAGATAGGATTTCCATCTTCAGACATTGACAGTGCCTGGCCCTTGCCATTTCTCCAGTTTGAAAGCTAGTTACGCACTGATTTGAATTTCCGTCAGATTAGAATGATTAGAAGTGCAGGACTCGGAAGTTAGACCTCTTTGACACTGTCGTATTTGGCCGTGACCACAATGAACGATCGTGGAGCAGTACGTTTCGGAAATTTTGATTCAACCTTGTTTCGAACATCTTGTAGTCAGCTGCGTCGATACGTCGACAATAGGTTTCTCATTGTACAGCAGAAACCACCTTCAGACCTCCGTTTCTCAAGTCTTTACAGACTTGGGTTTTAGTGGCAGTCCAGTTGAACTGGAACTTGTTTTCGTTGCACTCTCATGGTGCATCGGGCTCAAAAGTCGTGCTCATTTAATTCAATACTCGTAGTCACAAACCCGAACTTTTTGCATGAATTAGCACCGCTGTATGTACAGACAGGATTTCCATCTTCAGACATTGACATGTCTCGCCATTGCGATTTCTCCATTATGCAAGCTTGTTCCGCACTGATTTGGATTTTGCGTCAGATTAGAAGTGCAGGAGTCGGAAGTCAGACATCTTTGACACTGTCGAATTTGGCCATGACCACAACGAACGGTCGTGGAGCAGTACGTTTCAAATTTTGACTCAACCTTGTTTCGATCATCTTGTAGTCAGATACGTTGATAATTCGACAATAAGTTTCTCATTGTACAGAAAAGACCACCTTCAGACCTCCGTTTCTCAAGTCTTTACAGACTTGGACTTAAGTGGCAGTCCAGTTGAACTGGAACTTGTTTTTCGTTGGTTCTCATCCTGCCTCACACATTGAGTGTCTGGCCCTGCCTTTTTCCTCGTTGTGCAAGCTTGATCACAGCTAGCCTTTTCGCATTAGCATATGTACAGAAAAGTTTTAATCGATCCGACGTTTTCTCCACTTACCGTATTTTTCAACTAGATGAAACAGCACGTTACGATGATTGTTTGCGACAAAACGGCTTTCAAGTGGGGGGTCACCCGGTATCCGAGGCTTTTTGACCACCTGTGAACTTGTCGCTTTCTGCCTGCACTTGTGCTTCCTTTTTCTGATCCTGAGTCAGTACCCGATGTGCACCAAATTCGAGATTGTGTATCCGCGGGATCTGCCCGTCTCAGAATGAGTGGACTCAAAAATCCGGGCTCATCTAATTCGAATAATACGTTGAAAGACGCACTGTTGAATATCTTCAACCTGACATTCGTCAGATTAGAGATTGCGTCTCTGAGGGATCACTCCGACTCAGAATGAGTGGATTGAAAAGCCGGGCTAATTTAATTCAGAAATACACGTATCCGACCAGTTTGATTTCCAGTAGCTTGACGCAGCTGGGCGTCTTATATGTACAGAAAAGGTTTTTCACAACCTGACGTCGATCAAGCACTTAACCAGCGCAACTAAATATTGCTGCTGTCCGTTTTGCCCCGATATCTTCATGGACCTGCATTTCTGTCATTACATTTCTTGCCTGTATGTTGGCCCATTTTTGCAATGCCTTCCTGATTCGCCTCTCAGACTTTCGCCATGAAATTACTTTGAAGTTCGCTGGACCAGTTTTTTCAAGATCACCGTTGCTGAAAGCAACGGATACTATGTTTTGGCGACATACGGCCTTTGTGTGTGGGGGCAACCCCTGTTCCGAAGGGCTTTCATCACATGTCCAATTTTAGTTTCAGTTCCCAATTTACAGGCAGGGGTCACTCCGACTCAGAATGAGTGGATTGAAAAGCCGGGCTCATTTAATTCGAAAATACACGTATCCGACCAGTTTGATTTCCAGTAGCTTGACGCAGCTGGGCGTCTTATATGTACAGAAAAGATTTTTTCCCAACCTGACGTCGATCAAGCACTCAACCAGCGCAAGTAAGTATTGCTGCTGTCCGTTTTGCCCCGATTTGTTCATGGACGTGCATTTTTGTCATTGTATTTTTGTCATTACATTTCTTGCCTGTATGTTGGCCCATTTTTGCAATGCCTTCCTGATTCGTTTCTCAGACTTTCGCCATGAAATTACTTTGAAGTTCGCTGGAACAGTTTTTTCAAGATCACCGTTGCTGAAAGCAACGGATACTATGTTTTGGCGACATACGGCCTTTGTGTGTGGGGGCAACCCCTGTTCCGAAGGGCTTTCATCACATGTCCAATTTTTAGTTACAGTTCCCAATTTACAAGCAGGGGCACACGGCATCCTTGACCCACCGTGTGCAACGAAGCTACGGTCTTGGATGGGATATCAGGGCTGATCACCCTGACGTACCTGCAGTTGGTCATGATGTTTTCTCATTATTCAAGCTTGTTGATGCATTTTCGGTTAGTCTTTTGTCATATGCATGAATAATTCGAGAAATCGGAGTCCGTTACGCATTTTTCAGTTTTTTCAGTTTTTACCAATTTCTGCGACTTTTGTCCAAAGTGGACAAAGACGGCCTTTCTGAACTCAGTTCAGATACCCTATCGGGAATCAAAAGACTCATAGACGAGATACGGTCTTTCAAGTGTGTGTGCGTGTGTGTGTGTGTCATTAAACCCCGGAAGAACCCCCAAAAAATCGAGCTTATATCTGGCAAAATCATCGAACTTAATAGTGGGTTTCCCGAGCACGGACCCAGCATTTTTAAAACCAGGGGTTTTCCATGAAGGGGAAGATTAGGACCCGCTCTATACTTTATATAAAGGATTGAAAATCTCTCACCTCTGTCAAGCATCTTCTTCGATTGTAGGCTTTCAATGAGGGGGAAGATTAGGACCCGTTATATATTTCTTATAAAGGATTAAAGGGATAAGAATCTCCCACCCCGTCAAGCAATTACACTGATTGTAGACTTTCAATGAAGGCAATTAGGACCCGTTATATAAGTTATATCCTTATTGTACAAAGGGATTAAAATCCTCCACCCCCATCAAGCAATAACACTGATTGTAGCAGATTTTCAATGAAGAGGAGAATTAAGGGATTAAAATCTCCCGCCCCCGTCAAACAATTACACTTCGGACTCGCCACAACATGAAAAACGGGGAAAAGTGCGACACGCATGAAGTCCGCAGAGGGTTCACTTTTTCGACTGATTTTCGTAAAAAAATCGTCTTGGGACATACAAAGGCACAGATGTTCCAAGGTGATAAAACAAGCCGTGCCTGCGCAGTGAAATGAGCCGTGCCTGCGGACGCTAACCAATCCATTCCTGGTAAACCCTCCTTAAGAAGATCAGGACATGACGCCAGTCGTGGGGCGAATTACACGCCATGCAGAAAACAACGAGGCTTACAGGACCATTCCGTTTGCCACCTTAAAATTCTTCATCAAAATGACTAGATCTGTGTAGTAGAGTGATAAGTGCTTGGTGTTGGTTTGATTGATTGATGTTGTAACTATTACTTTTCTATACTATTCCATATGTAGTATCACTATATGTCTATATTTTTGGGGGTTGCTGTATATAAACATATAGATATACATTCTTGCTCCATGGGGTTCCAAAAAACAGTTACAATAGAAACGCCCTGCGCAGGTGGCACCTGTGAGCCCTGGAGCCTTACCAAACACGCGACTTGGCGCTGCAAGTTGACTGGGCAATTGGAAAGATCTATCAGCATTTCTGATTAAATTAGGATTGATTAGATTAGATACAATATAGGTAAATCATCTATACATATATAGATAGTTTAAGATTGTAGGAAGTATGGTAAGTATATCAAACTATCATAGTTGATGGGTGAACATGGAACTAACATAACTGGGAGGAGTTAGCAAGATGGTGTTGAGTGGTGTTGAGTAAATCCATGACACCATCACGATTGTGGCTGGTTGAAATACACTTTTTCTTGGTTCTCGCTGGGAACTTGTTACAGTTCTCTAAACATATAATTGGATATAATTGGAGGATACCACTTGGGTTCAAGAACTTCAACGGAAAAAAAACTTTTGAAGGCGCATTGCATCGCCTTAGCATCTCTCATATGCATTTACATATATGCATATTTTTTGTTTCATCCGCCAATCCATCTATTTGTCTAACTTCATGTCAATCACACTTAGAACATGTTTAAGATACTTCTGCAACATTCATGCACATATATATATAAGTAATATTTGTTTTTATATATAACAATACCAAAAAGGATGGGGCAGGCAAATTCCCACAAAAACATATTCATATTATAGAAATAGTTCTAGGTTACAATACCGATTTTGGGAGATACGGTACACCTCTTCAGGTGACTTTTAGGTGACCCAGGTGACCGAAAAAACATCCAGAGAACAGTCCGTTGTTGCAACCATTCGCGAGCAAAAAAAAGATAGCTGTTGAAATCCAAAAATGATGGAAGTTCTTGAAATACTCAAACATCTCCTATACTACTTTAAAAATCATAAAATTTGTAGTATATACAGTATACTCATGATTTTTCGGCATCTTTTGGCTGGTCTTTAAAAAAAAGAAGACAACTTGAGGCCATCGCAGGCCTCGACGGGTGACCTTTCGCAGCTTGGTGATCTGCGAAAAATGGGGATTTCGCCAAGAACTTTCAGTGGATTTCACCATCGAATAGGTGTCAAATGCTGGTTAGGCTTGGGTCAAAAAAAACCATGGTGTCACCATTCGACATTCCATCTATTGAATAAGAAAGGTTGAAAAAGATAGTTTGTTCATTGTCACTATGAGGTGTCACCAAAGATTAAGGATTTCACTTGATTTAACCATCTATTGAGGTGTCAAATGGTGGCAAGACGCTTGGGTAAGCTGGGAAATCCCCGAACTAGTGCATTGAACCATTAAAACCTGGACACCTATCTATAAATGGCGGGAAATCTTATACCTTTGGGGAATACATAAATTGTAAAAAAAATAATCGAAACTACCCTCCTGTCAACGTTGACGCTATTTGGGCTCATTGTTTGGCTGGGGACCAGGTGTCAGGTATGAACCAGGGGTACTAGCGAGACTCAATGGACTACATTTTGTTACAACCAACCTTTGTAATTATGGTTTGTCCTTATGCATGATTTCAAACCAACCCTCAGTGATATCATGTTTTTTGGGGAATGACATCTAAACAGGTTGGATGCTGTTGGTAATGATGTATGTCCATCAGTGTATATATATATATAAATCCGTCCGGAGGCTACGGGATGTGATAACTTCCCAGCCCCCTTTATAAATATGGTTGAAGGATTGCTTGTGGTAGTTATAAGGTAGTTTGTGAGCTTGGTAACTTGTTTCTTTGGGCATTAATCACTCAGAGTCAGAGATGATTGTGATTACTATAGAAGTTTACTCAATGAATGGTTAATAGGTTGGTTATTAGAGGGGCAACCCCCAATTTAACAACTAGTCCGGGTAAACAAGTGATGATCACGTGTACAATTACTAGACAGGCCCTCTTCTCCTGAAAGGACGTTGTTGCTTTGAACAGCAAATAATGGAACATAAGTGACACAGATGCGTATGTTAGCATGTTCCCTAAGAGACCTTTGGGCAACATGTTCCCTACAGCCTTGAAGAATCAATGATGGGACTTCGAGCAGGAAATCGGCAATGTTTTTCAGAAGGGGCAACCGAGACACCAAGATTTTCCATCCCAAAGTCATGAAAAATCCCTGGACACAAAATTATCATGTTTTTGCCAGAGATGACTGGAACATTTTCAGGAATAGCCATCATAGTCATACTTTGTGGGGAAAACGCCATGGTGAAACAAATCTGTTGATGGTGACTACAACTAAGTTGACTCATGGGATCTTATGATATCTTCACATATGGAGGTGTCCTAAAATAGGGCTAGCCCCAGTCATCATCCATTTTATGTTCCGATGTTCCCATGAAATCAACGACCCAGCTTGGGCATTTGATCCACTGAGGTGGCACCAACGCACCGATGGTTTCCAGGCATGGTCGGATCTTGTTTCTTAAAGCGAGGATTTCGAAGGGGTGTTCCATGGGATTCTTATGGGATTTGATGGAGGTTTAATAGGATTGAACGAACTTTGAATGGGATTTCATGGATGAATAATTTCGAGCCATAGCCAATTGATCTTAGAACGAGGCTTGAACTGAGACTTCCATGTTGAAACTGCCCAAGCTGCGGACAAAACAGAGATCTGTCCCTTCTCATGTGGAGGATGGTCCCAACTGACTCTGTCGCCTTTGAAGGTGCCGCAAGCACCAGCCGGAGGAGTCTTTGTTTCAGGAAAGGATAGTCCGAGGTCCAGCATTTTGAAGCGACTTGACGATCAGCGGAGAAATCCTAAGACTTGGGTCCCCAATCCTTGCGGTGGTGGCCAAAAAAAAATAGTGGCGCCATAGCTTTGGCTGGAGATTGAAGCATATGTGGGGAGGCACCCAATCATTGAGTTTGTAGATAACCATCATGTCCCAACCACGACCCCGCCATGTTAGTGGGTTACATCAATGTAACCATGAAGCTATATCCCATTAAAAAAGAACACAAAACAAGACAATATGTTTACAGAACGGCCCCTCATGGGGGAGTGATTTTTGCTCTAAAAATTGTCAAAAATACTGGTATTTACAGTGTTTTGTGACCAAAGTGGGCTTAAAACCGTTATTTTAGAGCAAAAAATAGAGTTCACCCCCAAAGGCTCTCATATGCTGTCATAAATCACTGGCATTTACAGACTCTTGTGGCAGGATTCAATTTTTCCTGTGAGGCTTGCAAAGAAGTACAAACAATTAGCACATAACAGAAAACATCTGCTGCACAACATGCCATAAGAATGGGTAGCTGCACATCTTGGAACAGAATATATATACAGTAGCAATAGGTGACTAGTGTGATGGAGGTGATGGAGAAATTCTATTGTTAAAAGCAATTGATATGATATAGGTGTTTCTTCATGAACTTGTTAGATTGATATCATCTTAACATATATTGTATATAGAAGCATTTGCGCTACATAAGAAGTATGGTGGGAAGGGCATACATTATATAGGTGGATATAACACAAGCACATCTAACACTCTGGATAAGAAGAATGGTGGGAATGTTACAACTCAAGAAGTAGGTACATATCTCGTTTATCATTGTTGTCTTGCAGAGTCTTGTCAGCAGTCTCATTTCAATAGTTAGACAGAGAGAGAGAGAGAAAGCCTAAGAGACAAAGACGTGTGTCAAGCTGTTGAATATTAAGGTCAGGCAACCTGTGTGGTGGCATAGCTATTCAAAGATAACGGTATGTTTGCTTCTTTGAAACATAAGTTTAAAAGATGGCCAAGATCCAAACATACACAATCTATAATCACCAAAACCTGCACAGGCATCAAAAAACAAACAAACCAATAGATGCACCAAACCTGCACAAGCACCAAAAAACGAAAAAAAACCAACCACTAGATGCATCAAACCTGCAAAGGCACCAAAAAAAATAAAAAAAACTAAAATTTCCAGGAACTATGGGTCCACTTCTGAGTAGTTGCTGGAATTTTTGTTTTTTTTTGGTGCCTGTCAATGTTTTGTGAAGTCAGAGTCACCAAACCTGCACAGGCACCAAAAAAAACAAAAAAAACAAACCACTAGATGCACCAAACATCGACAGGCACCAAAAAAAACAAAAATTCCAGCAACTACTCAGAAGTGGACCCATAGTTCCTGGAAATTTTAGTTTTTTTGTTTTTTTTGGTGCCTGTGCAGGTTTGGTGCATCTAGTGGTTTGGTTTTTTTGTTTTTTTTGGTGCCTGTCAATGTTTTGTGAAGTCAGAGTCACCAAACCTGCACAGGCACCAAAAAAAACAAAAAAACCAAACCACTAGATGCACCAAACCTGCACAGGCACCAAAAAAAACAAAAAAACTAAAATTTCCAGGAACTATGGGTCCACTTCTGAGTAGTTGCTGGAATTTTTGTTTTTTTTGTTTTTTTGGTGCCTGTCGATGTTTGGTGCATCTAGTGGTTTGGTTTTTTTGGTGCCTGTCAATGTTTTTGTATATCTCATGTCAAGATCATGATGAAAAAAGTGTGTTTTACTAGGGTTTTAGACCCTCCAAATGCATAAAACATCGGTATTTACAGTGTTTTATCATCATTTTTAATGAAAATTCACTCCCCCACGGGGTGCCGCCCTCTATGTTTATGGGTGGTGTGTTCTATCATGTTCTATCCACCATTATATAGAAAATGTCATCATTAATAAGATGTTAACAATAGTTAGCAACTATATATGTGTCCCACATTCTGTAAATTGGTCACGTCAGTTTGATCACAGATTCTCCACATCTTTGTGTGTGTGTGCGTTTTTTTTTTAAATGTGTGATGATTACCCAAGATTTTGAATATGTTGAGAAGTGTTTGTTTGATATTGTTTGATCATTACCAGCCTTTTTGTAATAGATCACCAAAAATATGGGGTTTCCACAGTTCCATCTTCTTTTTTGGTTTACCTCATATATGGACAAAAACATGTTCACCACATATGTCGATATTTTATGATATTTTTCCATATATTCCATAGATTTCTATAGGTTTTAACGTTCACCCCGTTCCAAAAATCGCTCATGCGTCCAACGTCTCAGGTTATGCGGTGCCTGGGGTGCGTTAGCAGCACCTCCTGTAGCTCCAAAGCCTACGGTGCGTTTGGCCACAGAGAAAGGCGGAACTTGGTCGCCAGGGTGAGTTATTAGTGGAATATGTTTTTATATCCCAAGACATACCACAGAAACATGGCTTAAACATGGCTTATGAAAAATGTTACTGTATATTTCTATGGTTTCTAGCTGATAGGGGTGACGGAAGATGACTTTCCAGTGAAAATTAGAGTTATTTTCAGGGTCAAACTGTTAATTTACCAGAGGGTAATCATTAATCATCTACAAATTAAAGTGAATCTTTGCTGTGCTAATGGGAAATTACTTTTCGGCATTTTGACAAGTTGAATGAATCATTCACATAATCCATCATGAGAAAAATGGTGATTATTACCTTTAGACTGTCCAAATAGGTATGGCATCCTGGGTGCGTCTCAACATGGGGAAATGATCATCAATCTATTTTAATCACTGATTTTTGGGGTACCCATGTTTAAGCCATATATATCCATATATTATATATATATATGTGAGAAATGTTGCTGACCAAGCAACTTTGTTGTGCAAATGGGATATATACGCTTAAGACTTAAAAGCAATAATATGTCAATGATGGATGGATTTAAGATTGATGTGCATGTGAAGGGCCTGGGATTGAGACGTTGACGCTACAAGACTTGCAAGACCAGACCTATCCAAATAGGTGTTGATCCACCATATGTTTTAACTACCGCAAACAGATTTCGGATTCAAGATGTTTTCAGCGAAACAGATTAGATTGTATCACAAAGAAAACGATGCGAAAACAAAATTCAACGTGTTGGGAATGCACTATATACCAAGAGTGATGATCATCCAAAAGCAAAGTTTTGATAAAGCAGTTACACAATTGGCCAACAAGACAACACCCAACAAAAAAATCCATCAGGGTTGATATCCGTAGAATCATTCAGCTCATCCAAAAATTCTCTCCCCCCCGTGGGATTTCCCTTGCCAGGCTTTGCTCATGACCGCGCCGAGCTCTTGTTCTTCCGCCGGCCCATGGAACGACCCAAGGAGCTGGTCCGGGAGCCCGGGATGTCGTTGGGTTTTCCATGGGGTTTACCCGGCCTGGTAAACGTTCACAAAAAACTATGGAACATCCACCCATTGTTCATGGGAAAATCCACTATTTCTATGGGCATTTTCAATAGCTTTTTGTATGTTTACCAGAGGGTAATGAACATTGATTTGGATTTAAAGGGATTGAATGGGATTGAATGGGTGGATTTGATGGTTACCCTGTGGTAAACTAAGATAGTTATGCAAAATCCATCGAGTTTTAATAGCTAAATCAACGAACTCAATGGCCATGTTCAATAGTTCTGTTGATACCAGCTAACTAAACCTCCATTTCAAGGGGATGTCTCATTGCCACATTTGATTTACTTCGCTAAGTTGGTTTTTCACTCGCTTAACTATGGTTTATGGTAGATATCCTCCAGTTTGCTATGGAAAATCACTAGTGTCATAGGTAAATCAACTATAAATGGGCAATGTTCTATTGCTATGTTAACTGTGGTTTATGGTAGACATATCGATCAACAAATCGCATAAACGAAGAAATATAACCTGGGGTGGGCACCACCTTGTATGAAAAAAGCAGGCAAGTTCATCAACAAATGGGGATTTTTCAGATGGAGTACATGTGTATTTATACAAAATATATATATACACATATATTGATAGTATATATATATGCATAATGTGGGTAACACAATAATAAGCCATCCCCCAGTCATCACCATAAATAAGTGGTATAAACCATTCCCAAATGGGTGGTTTATTATTGATTCACCCACATTATATCTATTTGCTACATGACCAACTGTAGTTTTGGATGAGTTATACCGATAAAACCTCACTGCCACTGTAAATGATGGTTTTCAGAAGAGGACGTAGAGGGAGTTATTCCAAAGGGTGCATTTGTGTGGTCTGTACATGTTTGTTTCTGAATGTAATTGTGTTGTTTTGGGTAAGGCGGTCATTGTGTGTAGTTTCTTTTTAAGGGTAGTTATTTTTGTTTGGTGATTTTTAGGGCTCTTACAGTATGTTAATCATAGTGGTAATGTGCGGCTATAGTCGCTTGTAGATTTGCCAATTTCAATGCCGTTTGTTATGTGGTGCAATTTGTTGATTTCGCCGGTGCTTTGTTATAGAGAAACCCGGTTGGGTCGGGTCATGTTTGTGCAATGAATGGAGGAGTTTACATGAGCTTACAAGCCAGCTAAGAATTAGATAATGTTTATATCAATATATTTATATCTATGTACTTTACATGTGCACATATTAAATTGATTATATACATTATATATATAATTATATTATATATCCTGACCCTAGGTCAGTCTCACCTGTTGAGATGGCAATGGAGAGATATATATATATATATACAGTATATATTTTGCAGGTTATTGGAATTAAATGGACATTGCGGGCCTCACCCATCATCATCCCACAGGGCGACAGAAGTTTCATAGTGTGGATGATACGCCGAAGAGTGGAACATGTGGGATGATGTCACTACTATTGGTCTTTCATATTTTTCAGAGGTGTTGAAGCCGCCAGAGAAGCATGGTCAAGATATGTCAAGATTGCCAAAACCCAAATCGCCTCCATGAGCCCAATCATGTTTCTGTTGGGTGAAAATTGATAGAACGCCTTTTTTCTGTGGGGATAAAAACCCTGATTTCCTGATTTCACACTTCCAGCTGTTTCCTTTTCAATGTCCTATCAACCCTTCACAGAAATCCATTACCCTCTGGTAAACGTTTACATAACTATGGAAAATCACCATTTTTGATGGGTAAATCAGCTATAAAATGGCAATTTTCCAACTGTTAGTTTACCAGAGGGTATTCCAAGGAGTTTTTTCTTGGATTCCAGCAGATCCTTAGTTTCGCCGAGGCGACCTTGGGCTGTGCCAAGGTTTGAAAAATGTTTCCTGGCCTCGGGTCCTCGGGTGCCGGGGGGGCCTCCATGTAGCCTTTGGTCAAACATGGCAAGCTGGAAAATCTGATGGATGAATGGTGGGTTTTCATAGATTTTTCATGGCCATCTGGTTGGTGGTGACTGGAACCATGGAATTTTGAATGACTTTCCCATCATATTGGGAATGGAAAATCATCCCAACTGACGAAGAAAAAACAATTTTTCAGAGGGGTAGGTATACTCAACCACCAACCAGATAATTCATCATCATTAACCACCATTAACCATCATTAACCACCATATTTTTCAGAGGGGTTGGTTGAAAAATATTTTTTCAGAAGGGTAGGGCTCAACCACCAACCAGATTTTCGATGGCCATGTGTGATTGCCCCGGATGGTCATTTCATGGGGAGATCACAGCATCTTGGGGAGATGATGGAGCTTTCACGAGATCTGAGGCAGGTATGAGTCAAGTCATCCATCAATTCATTGGATGGGTGATCACACATTGGAATCAGTATGTGTATATATATATTATATAATTAGATCTATCTATCTATCTATCTATCTATCTATTTATCTATCTATCTATCTATCTATCTCTTGGTAAATTATAACGACCTCACTGTGACCGAACCCTGGAATCATGGTTGATAAAGGGAAATCATCCCCAAATGGCCTCAATTCAGCTTAGTGAAATATTCTAATTTACCCTGATATATGCGCATGGCTGACCAGAAATGTGTTTTGTACAGTCCCAGATTTGCCTTAGGCTTTTGCAACTGTGCATATCACATTACAGCCCATACCCCAATCCCACCATGCTTGGCCACGTGTTTTTTTTCCCACGCGCCAAGGCAGCCCAAGGAGAGACGGAAATTCTGAGAGAACGGCGTGGAACCGGTGAAACTGACATAGATTATGACACACATGAACCATTATGTAATAAAGATACTTTGGCTGATTGGTTAACATAGGGACTTAGTCACTATCTAATTGACTGGGGAATATGATAGCCATAGAAACGAAAACTTATCAACCAAGTAGTATAATGAGATGGGATAGTGGTATTTTTAGTGGCAAAAATGTGGCGGTTTCTAAGTCATTGGCCCTCAGTTTTCATCCAGTCGTCATGGATGACCATGACGACTAGTATTGAACCCCATGGTGATTTTGGGATCCCCAAACTAAAGGAAAGCCCCGCAGGATGAATGATGTTTCCCTATTCTTGGGGCTTCACATGGCTTCAAGTTTCGACATGTTTCAACAACATCAGTGGCCCGTGGAACCTTGGCCCATTGATGGAGAAATTTTGGGGCGATTATCCCAAAATTGGATTACCCTAAAATTGGCTTACCCTAAGGTAATCTAACAAAGCTATGGAAGCCATGGCTCATTTTACAGATTTTGTTTTTTCTTGACAAGGTGACTTTCCATAGCAAACTGTTAAATTTCCAGAAGGGTATTCCGCAAATCCGGGTATTGCTCGAATTTGCCCAGAAACATCGTTCAAGAGCATGTCTTACAACTTCAAAATGCCTTAACATGAACTTTACATGGTTGTCTCAATAGTGGCATGTTAGTGGGTCCTTCCCGTCCCAGAATTGGCAACATGGCGATCTTCCATTGGAACTGGGGGTGCCTCATTTGGATCGTTCAAGTTTCATCAGCCCTGCGCGGTTTCACAGACGATCCAGCACACAGCTGCGCGACGCCGCAAGATCGCAGTTGATGCCCCGGATACGGGGGGAATGGGTTCCCTTCACCGTAAAACTGGGACTTTTCACAGAGCTCTGGACGAAACATTGGGGTTGGGCCGGGTTTTTGTCTGTGAGGATTGGGTCCTTCGAAGGTTTTTCTGTACTCTTTGGTAACATAGCGAACTGGAACATCAGCATCTCCAAAAAAGGTAAGTCATCTATCAATGGACCATCATTAAAATGTAAAAGACCATCATATAGATGACATAGTGCTATAATCAGATGACTTACCTATTATAGATGGTATCACTATCAATGGACTATGGACCATCTATACCATAGCAAAGTGTTAAAATACCCGGTGGGACCCACGTCGTCACTTTCGGTGTTCAGGTTTTTTCACCTGTCCCATGGGAAATCCACCGACATAACAACCATCAACAACCCATAACCCCCAGAAAGAAATATATAATGTGTAACTATTTTTTATTTAGTAGGATTTTAATTGGATTTTACTTTTTTATCTTTTTGGGGGTTACTATAAGTTACTATAATATATGTTGAGCTACTCGCTACTTAGGATTTGCGGCAGCAAGCAGAGAGCAAGTTGCCCGGGTTTTGCAGGGAGTCTGGCCCAACCCCTTAGCTTACCATGGCATATTTAAGTGTCACAAGTTCCCAGGGCTGAACATGGACGCTGAGAACTATTGAGTCATACAGCGCACTGACGTTGGAGACACAGCATTTCGCGCCTCGAGAGGCAGACCCTCGAAGAACTGTGAAGATTTTGTGACCAGAACTGTCAACTTGGAAGGGTTTGCCGCCTGGATGTGTACTGTATTCTTATGATGCCAAGCTGAAATGTCAAGGAGTGACAAGACCTGTGGGCCTCATTGGTCCGGTGTGATGGCCCATGGCTATAGGATGGTAGGTTTGGTTCACTGCGATCCGTTACGGTATTAAGATACATACATATACACCATATTACACCTATTGCACCAACATGATTTTGTTACTCGTGATATTTCTCGGACTCCCTGTGACATGTCCCTGGCCTCCCTTTGCATGTGCTATGGGGGGTCGTGGGCGACATTGTGGTTTTGCAGCGTCGTGGGTGGCTTTGCAGCGTCGTGGGTGGCAAAAGACGGTCGTTGGTTTTTGTCTTTGGATCTTTTGGCTTTTCTTCCTTATATTTTGTTTGTCTTTCGTTGTTGGTGTCCGCGTTTCTGGGGTTTGGTTGTCTGTCTTTTGGCTTTTCTATTTGGTTTTGGTCGCTTTTCCTGTTGGTGACTGCGGTTTGCTTCGAAGCAGCTTGGTTGTCTGTTTTTTGGCTGTTCTACTTGTGGGTTCTGGAGGCTTTTTCTGTTGGTGTTCGTGGTTTGCTTCTGGGGTTTGGTTGTCTGTCTTTTGGCTTTTCTATTTGGTTTTGGTCGCTTTTCCTGTTGGTGACTGCGGTTTGCTTCGAAGCAGCTTGGTTGTCTGTTTTTTGGCTGTTCTACTTGGGGGTTCTGGAGGCTTTTTCTGTTGGTGTTCGTGGTTTGCTTCTGGGGTTTGGTTGTCTGTCTTTTGGCTTTTCTATTTGGTTTTGGTCGCTTTTCCTGTTGGTGTCTGCGGTTTGCTTCGAAGCAGCTTGGTTGTCTGTTTTTTGGCTGTTCTACTTGGGGGTTCTGGAGGCTTTTTCTGTTGGTGTTCGTGGTTTGCTTCTGGGGTTTGGTTGTCTGTCTTTTGGCTTTTCTATTTGGTTTTGGTCGCTTTTCCTGTTGGTGTCTGCGGTTTGCTTCGAAGCAGCTTGGTTGTCTGTTTTTTGGCTGTTCTACTTGGGGGTTCTGGTCGCTTTTTCTGTTGGTGTTCATGGTTTGCTTCTGGGGTTTGGTTGTCTGTCTTTTGGCTTTTGTCTTTTGTTGTTTGGGTTCGTTGTTTTGTTGTTTGCCTTTGCGGCTGGTATGGTGCACCGCAAAATTGCCAGCCCTGGCTCTGCTACCAAACGTGCAATCCCTAAAATGGAGGCGACCATATGTGTATCAGCAAACAAGCAGCCAAATTTGCCACAGCTGTGTTGTGCTGTAATTTTGCATCGTGCTTTAGTCCTGCGAAATCGTTTTGGCAGGAGCCAGCCGACAAACAAAGCGCCAGAAAAAAAAATACACATATATGATAATATAACATACTATATCATAATATTATTTTTATATATAGAAAATATTAGTGATTTTCTTCTGGGATGATAATAGGATTGAATTCCATGGGGAATTTCGAAGATGTTTGCCTTATTTAGTCCTAATGGAATAACCGTGGGGGTCCTACAACAAGCAACCGTCACATATAAGTATATACACAGGGTATAGGTATATACATATATACCAAGGATACGCGTGAACCCTTCACTACAAACGGTCGTCAAAAGATCCCATTCCTGAGTTCCCAAACACCCAGAAATTTAAATGAAATAGAAGGGTTTTGGAAACACTGTTTATTTCCGGCAGTTTGGTCCACTATTTTTTCACCGAAATCGCTCAACTTGCCGCAGGGTGAGACATCCGGCTCCTGGACTGGACAGTATACGTAGGTACACGGTACCAGAAAAATTGGGAAACTCGTTTGTTAGTTTTTTAGAAAATATTGTTCACAAAAGGTTCCATATATGTTGGACTGGATCGAATCTGCAGAATCCGAAATCACGCACGCAGGGTGAGACATCTAGATCTGATCCATGCACTGGACAGTTCATGGCCGATTTGGGAAAACTGGGACACTTCTACATGCCCTATTTTGTTTTTATTTTCTGGAATTGTTTTGTCACAGTCACAGTGCATATAGGTACCATGTTGAATCTCAATCCCACATGGTTCGCTCGCAGACTCGCAGCAGGGTGAGACATCGATCCGTGGCTCCTGGACTGGACAGTAAAAAATCCAAGATGCACATTTTTTTCCCTGCTTGTTGAACTTGTGAGACTTGCACATTGCAAAGCAAAACACGTTTACCTGTTGGAAAAAACCTCGAACAAAAACATTACCTGAATCTTGGAAAAAAGTAAAATAAGTTTCTCAAATCAAAACCAACACATTTGAATTTTGGGTTTGCGCGATCATGGGAGCAGCACATGGAACGTGCAAGATTTCAGCGCCAGGAACCCAGCTGATCAAAACCAGCCCAGCTCAAGCCAGCTCATCACAATCTTGAAAAAAACATTTCAGATTCCTTGGCATGGGTCTCAAATTTCCCCCAGTCGATTAGGAACCTAAGGAGTCTAAGGAGTCTAAGGAGTCTAAGGAGTCTAAGGAGTCTAAGGAGTCTAAGGAGTCTAAGGAGTCTAAGGAGTGTCTAAGGAGTCTAAGGAGTCTAAGGAGCTGTTCACTGGAGCTGTGATGCATGCTGGAATCCGCTCTCAGGTCGGCGTGCCTTCGAAGTGAGACAAGGTGCCTCAGAAGCCAAAGGATGCTTCACTCATCACAATTTCCCAGGTGCAGTTGATCATGGCAAAAGTATCACATTTACATATGCATGATGTAAAAGGTTTTGGCTCAGCATTTGATACAAAAAACATGGGCAAACAATTTATATAAAAGCAACGCAAATTACATTTTTGGTGGAATTTCCCCAGCTGCATTTGTGCAGAATCCTGCTGACAACTCCATGACCTGCAAAAAAACTGCTGAGTGGCGCACTGCAAAGCCATGGATGAAGACAACCAGAAGTCTCCGGAAACCGCCTTCAAATGGATGGAAAGGCGATGCAAGGCTGAGAATGTGCGCTTATGCCTGGTTCTCCCAGCCTGTTTAAGTTGCAACTACCAGTGAGATGCGTCATTTTCTAACATTAATTCGAATGTTACATTTCACATTCCCGCTCCAGCTCAAAGGTATGTGTCTCCCTCAAAAAAAAATGTTTTGCCATAGATTTAGTATATAATTATATGCTTGGGATTGCATAGGTATATATATGATGAAACTCAAAGCTACCTTGCTGGCTCAGTGGTCATGACACGTAGCTGGCTCAGCGCAAGAAAATTCTTTAAAAAATCTTTTGCTGTTGCCGCTTTGATGTCAAGATTCACCCCTGAAACGCTGTTACGTTCAACCTCTTGGTGCCATGTTGGATGGTTGATCGGTCAGCACGTGCCAGAGGTGTGGCTGGCTGCGCTGGACCAGTCGTCCTAGGATCGGTTTCGAAATCCCGATCTACTTCGTGGTGTTTTGGTTTTTGCTCAGGGT